CTTGATTACAGTTTTCATTTTGGATATTTTCAACACATTCATCTTCTGAGTTTTCCTCAGTATCACCAGAACCAATCGGGTTTGTTTCCACTCTGCTTTCCTCAAGCACAACACTTTGCCGATAATTCCGATGAATATAAGTTCCTTTCTGTTTATCTTCCTGGATGCAATTAAACAAATTTTCATCAGGAATGGTCTCAGCAATGTTATTCTTCCAGGTGTGTTTTGTGTAGAAGAGAACATGACAGGCAGCAAGAACTGATAACCCCTCATCATTCAACTTGTTGACATTGGCACCATTATCCAGTAAGCAGTTAATAACATCTCTTTGACAATTGACCTGGAGAAAAACAGGTTCTCATTACAGATGTATATTACAATTGTAAACGAAGCAAATGAAGCCAAATTGGTCTTTACATAATTATGTGCTATATGGACCTGGAGAGTGACAGAAGTAAAGCTGACTCCATGGTATTATGTTAGTAAAGGGGAATTCAACCTAACTCCTATGTTTTCTGTAAGTGTAACTCTAGCTATTGCATCAATCTACAAATCCTAACCCACCCTACCCCCAAAATTAGAGGCAGTCAATTGCACCAAAGCCTGTGCAAGAATGTTAAAACAGCTTCACATTAAACACTCACTGCAGCAGCTAGTAAAGCAGTGTAGCCCGTCTTATCGGCAACATCCACATGAACTTTTCCACTTTCAATCAAACTGCGAACTTTGAAACAATCTCCAGCTGCTGATGATTTTAAAAGCTCCTCTGATGCACGTTCAACAGGTCCTTTAGAACCTTTGTTGCCACGAACACCTTCTAAAATATCCATGTATGAGAAAGAACTTGGAATTTGAGACAACACTTTGCTTGATTCCATGTCATTGGTACCTTCAAAGTCTTGCAATGAAGGGGTATTGTTTCTTACATTCTCCCTTGCTGTGTTGGCTCGTACTACTCTGTTAGACAAATTCTGACCAGCATTCACATTGTAGTTAGAGTAGTGCTGGAAGAGGAAGGCACTGTCCATTACAGAGCACAGTTTAATTAACCGTTCCCCACACCAGAGTCCAACATCTTGTTCCTCATTAGAGTATGTCAATATTCCTGGACCATCCCTCTCATCTCTGCGATATATTCCCTATAATTGAAAAAGGAAACCTTTTCATCTGAAGTTACTTCAAGGACTTCGCGTGACTAATTGAGTTACCGGTAGTAGAACATAATCACTGATAGAGTAACGTTTTCACTTCAAATTGCACAAACCTCAAATTTATTGCTGCTTGGAAAGAAAAATGTACCAAAACCCTGCTTCTTGTCATTTTCAAAGTGACCTTCAAATTTTGTACCATCAGGCCAAGTATATACTCCTTTTCCGTGCCGTCTGTCTCGATAGAACTCTCCTGTATAGCTCTAAACGAAAACATGCATTGTCAATCAGAACTTCACAAACAGAAGACGCAGGTATAGATCTGAATTCCAGCAAAACATGCACATGCACCATGTGGTAAACAATCTATTCACTTTCTTTTTTTTTCACCCTCCCTTACTTAATTGTAAAGCCACTGCCACTATCTTAAAATAAATTATACTGAGAAATCAGTAAAGGTCAAAATGAAAGAGCAGCAGTGGAGGACTGTCCATAAGAATAAACATATAACTTCTGTGCACAATATTGTCTGACATACAGACTCTGTTCACACTACATGCTCCCATGTGCACTCTTCATCAAAATTGATTTTATTTCTCTTTTGTCCTTCCCTTCAGAATGCAATTTGAATTTTATGAAAAACATAGAGTAACAAATGTGGTGCACAGAAAGAGGCCACCAGTCATTGCCTCTGGTTTATATTATTCCCTGGATAGAGCCCCTGGGGAATTCACACATCAGTTCATTGTATTAGCACATTTCTTAGATAAATACGCTACATTTGTGTACTTTATTTCGGAAAATGAAAATAACAAAAGACGAACAGCTGGAATATCTTTGCCGCGGGCTAAATGGTGGCGTTTGAAATTGACGCCATTCACGCAAGCACCAAAACCCCAAGTAGTGACAGCGCAGCTTTCGTGTAATTTCGTGTAATTTGCGTGTCAATATCCTTGACATGCAGGCTTTTCTCTTGAATGTATACTCCAAGCGCAGTTCACATTTTTTCTTAACATCTTTTCCAAGCGAACGAAAAACACCTTGAAAACTAAAGTAAACATCGAGTAAAACTGTCTTTGGATAAAATGCAAAACAAGCAAGGACCTCTCAGCGGTAGAATTCAATATTCTAGAGTATATTTTGCTTCAGGTTGACAATTTTTGTCTAAACTAAGTAAACTTACTTAAACCTGTGAGACGCCTACTGTCTTAAACATAATCCCCGCTCTTGTCTTGATAAATACGAAAGACTGAACAAAAGTCGAGAAGGCAAGTCCTTCACTTTCGCAAATTGACTTTAATTCCAGCGCCTAATTGAAGTCTTCACCCAACGTATTCAGTTCCTTCTGACTTCGAGACTGAATGCACTTACCAGCAAATCTTGGAGGCGCATAAAGTAATTTTGAAACCATTCAGAAAATAGATTGCTAAATTAAAATTGAAGACGGTTAAAAAATCGCTCTCTCCGTTACGGCTATTATCTCATCTTAAGTTTACACACGTACCTCTTTATCAGCCCATGTCAGCGTTCCAGCTCCATGTCGAAGATCGCGTACAAAAGCGCCTTCGTACGTTGAGCCGTCAGGCCAATATTGTTTTCCATAGCCATGTCTTGTGTTATCTACGTATTCTCCGTCATAGCAAGCTCCATTTGGCCACTTAAAGATCCCTTTACCACTCTTCTTGCTTCCCTCGAGTTCGCCGTGATAAACAGCACCGCTCTTGTATTCCCGTCGGTATTGGCTTGTGTTTAATCGCAACACACGATTCGTAGAAGAAAATTTTGTCTGCCTTCGCATACCTCATAACATACCAGTAAGATACTTCTCTTATAAAGAACTGCGATGCTCGACAGTATACAAGAGGATTCTTACGGCGATCGACGTGACAAATATTGACTGCTCATCTGCGTTGAATGGAGGGACTGTGGGTAACCGGAGTGTCTTTGTTATCAGTGTTGCTAGGTCACCACATGTGTTGTCTGAAAGGAACAAAAGAGGCCGGACAAGAAAGAGAAACATCCTCTTGAACTTCATTTCATTTATGCCCTTGACGTTATTTAATGTTGAATTTTATCCATAGTTGGACATTTAAGTTTAAAGGAAATTATTCATGCATTAACCGAACTTACCTCGTTTTCGTTTAAAAAAAAATGAGGAAACTTTGGATATTAAGTGAAGGCACAACTTGTTAAATGTGAACAGGTATCAATACCTTTACTTACATACATACAATTAAAAAATGTTTTAATCACCCACTCTAGGGTAAGACTAAATTCAAATTTCCTCTACAATATCACAACACTTTCATGCAGGAGCTCCATGAGAAAAAAAATTGTCTTGCAGGAAATTAAACATCAAATTCTCAGAGATTATTCATTAGAAATGGAGAACTGAAACTAGATCTTGGGAGTGGAAAGGTTTTACTGTATGGCACAGTCTTCTTTTATTTCTCAGTAGTAATGCAAATTCAAACTAGATCTTGGGAGTGGAAAGGTTTTACTGTATTGCACAGTCTTTATTTTATATCACATTTCTATAAGCAGTGTAATTTTTTTTTGTAATATATCTATATTAATCATCATTTAATGTCACTAAAGACTTCTATTTACTTATAAGTTAATTCAAAGCTATACTTGACCCTCACATGTAAGTAATATAGTACAAAAGGTGGGGATGAGGCAGAGGGGAGGAGAGGAGAGAGATTTTATGGTAACATTTCCCATGGTACTTCCATTTTCAACTCTAGTTTCTGCTCACTAGTCTGTACACTAACAAATGTGTAGCTATAAGCCCATGTAAAAAATGTAAATCAATTTTTAATACATCATAAAGGAATTCATTTTTCCCCAACAAGACTGTTGGGTTGAAATTTAAAACCATGTTTAAGAGGGGTGTGGACAAAACCTGGCCTAGGCCATGGCCTACCCTGTGGCCTACCCTATGGCCTACCCTGTGGCCTACCCTATGGCCTACCCTATGGCCTACCCCGTAGCCTACCCTATGGCCTACCCTGTGGCCTACCCTATGGCCTACCCTATGGCCTACCCTCTGGCCTACCGGTGGTCAGATGTTTAAGAACATAAAAATAAAATCTGAAGAGGGTATACTAAGAGGTCGCTAAAATGATTTTCAACATTCGAAGGAACAAAACACGGCAAATATCACAGCACTCAACCATAACGGTAGGTTAAGGGGGAGGGGAGAGGAGGGGATATACAAAATGGCGGCTTTATGATGCAGGCTGTCAGTTNGGTTAAACGCAACTTTTGGGCAAACATCATCATATCAGCTTTCCTTTCAAATTAGTGCAATACTGGCCCTTTCTTTGGAAAAGCAAGTAAAGTTTGCGAAATGTTTACGACTGCGATGTGTGCGTGTTCTGGGGTGCTCGTTGCAAATTCAATACTCTACAGCACTTGAGGGCTCTTAAAAAATTGGCCTGCAACGTAAGGTTTGCATTTTCTTACCTGGATATGTGTGCTCTCCAATATAATGCCATTCATTACATTTTTACACCAGCACTCCAGTATACGTTACCAACTGACAGCCTGCATCATAAAGCCGCCATTTTGTATATCCCCTCCTCTCCCCTCCCCCTTAACCTACCGTTATGGTTGAGTGCTGTGATATTTGCCGTGTTTTGTTCCTTCGAATGTTGAAAATCATTTTAGCGACCTCTTAGTATACCCTCTTCAGATTTTATTTTTATGTTCTTAAACATCTGACCACCGGTAGGCCAGAGGGTAGGCCATAGGGTAGGCCACAGGGTAGGCCACAGCGTAGGCCAAAGGGTAGGCCACAGTGTAGGCCACAGGGTAGGCCACAGCGTAGGCCATGGCCTAGGCCAGGTTTTGTCCACACCCATTTAAGAAGTCAGAGGAAAATGCAAACCAGCTATAATCAAAATGTACATTCCCAGTGGTATGTCAATAAGTAACAGCCCCAAACCCCTTTGTTGTTATGCATCAACCTGGGAATGGTTTGACTAAAATCAGCCAATCCCAACAAAATCCAACCAGAAAAGATTAATCTACAAAACTGGCAAACTGCAAATTTCAAAAAAATATACAAATCATGACAAATCATGGTGGCCAAATATCAAAAGCAAGGAGCCAATATGGGCAACATTATTACATTAATATGCAAATTAACAGGTCAAAACAAATGTTGCAAACTCAGAAAGGTTGTCTCACTTTCTCCGTTGCAATTTGCCAGAGTATAATATCTTCTAGGAGCTCTACACTCTACTTACAAAGGAGAGTTTTATTAGTGATAGGTAAAAGATTAAAAACATTCTATATTGATAAAATCAGGTCTACAGAGTTCCATGTTTTCTATTTTTAGGGTCTCCACCTAATATCAAAGTAATTATGAAATTTGGTCATTCTGGTAGGTAATCAATGTCAATCAAACTCAGAATATTGTCCTTCATATTACTGCCATTCATAATCTCCTGATTAACCATCAAACTGGCAAAATGGCTCCTGAGGTGCTCCAGAGCTCTCTTATTCAAATCATTATCATACTTTTCTTTTTCAAATTCATTACTCAACCTGTTGACTTCTTTCTGTAACTTTCTAATTTCAAGCAAATGCTGCTGTTCTATAAGATCCTTCTGACTTTTAAGATTTTCCTCTTTCTCTTTTTCAGTTCTATCCAGCTTAGATTGGAGATGCATCTTGTTGAGCTTCTCTTGATTCAAATCTGCCTGCGTTTGTTTAAGCAAATTCTCTGTTTCATCTCTTTCAAGTTCTAGTTGCTTACATTCCTCCCGAGAAATTTTCAAGTTAGCGTGATATCTTCTCAGATCTTCTTTAAGTGCTCTGTAGTTAACTTTTAACCTCTCATATTTCTTTTTCAATACTCCTAAGTTGCATTTGACAGCCCCCTCTGATTCAGCGACGTCTTTAAACTTTCTTTTCCAAGAATGAATCTCCTCTTGTGCCGATTCCAACATGGCGGCGAGCTTCAGATTTTGCATTTTAGCTTTCTGTAGAAATCTGCGCAAAGTTTGCAGCTCATTTTCACTCCAGATGCACTCATCTTGGTCCTTAAACTTCGGTTTACTCGGTCGTTTCTTCTGTTTTGAAACGATTTGTCGAATCTTCTTCAGTCGCTCAACATCATCCTGCATGTCTTCATCGGTAGATGTTTTCGCCTTTTGTTCCTCGAAATAAACTCTTCTATAAACTTCATCGAGATATTTAAGCTTTGCTGTACTTTTTTCGTCTTTTTCTTGGCTTTTCAGCAACTCATCTACGCTTCCAAACTGGAATTTTGGAGGAAAAACTTCTGCTACCCAGTGATCCGCCATGTTGAATACAAAAAAGGTCAGGCGTTCTCAGACGATACGAACGAGGCTTGGACGCTAGCGTTGAGAGTAGCGGGAAAATGTGCTGTGGCCGCGTAAGGCGAACGTTGTTGATCATTGAGCAGTTTCGGAGGTCAACAAGTCTTCGGTTAGTGAATGGTGCAAATTTGTCTCTTAAAATATTTTACCGCCTATGTCCACAGAAAAATATTCTCGGATTGCTGTCCCTCACGGACTAGTCTCCCTCGCAGCCGTTTTTTTTTTGGATGTCACGCAACGCTCCCCCAAAAGAACGGCTGCTGACAACCGAACTACATTCCTTTCTCCGAATTGGCCAATCACAGCTCGGGTTCCATTTTCAGGAACCTCTTCGCGCCAGACTCACCTTTTGAAACTCGTCCAATCAGATATCGTTTTCTATCGAGATCCTCATGTGGAAGACACATGACAAATGGCGGTGCTTGAGGGAGCTTTTCGCAAAGCGTCGTCAAAGTTCAAAATTGTCGAGCTTAATGCTCACCAGAAGCTTGCAATTAAAAAAGTTTTAGTCGAGAAAGAAGATGTTTTTACGTATGATGTTTACGTATGATTTTACGTATTATTTTTGTTAAGTTGCAGGATCCGGGAAATTGTTAATATATCAAGCACTCCCGCTCGTGTTTGAACATGTTACCGATGAAAGTGGTCATATTATTGTTATTGTTGTTGCGTTGTACCAACGTGCGGAAACACTCGATAATTCGGGCCGATTTCCTGTACCGGTGATAAGAAGCCACGAACATAACTAATCGGGTTCGCTCCAGCTAGCAGCGGACTGGCAAATGAAGAAGTACAAGTAGTGTAGGAGACGTTGGCCGACCTAAATTGCAGTGTTCTCGAAGCTTCGCCCGGTTTGTTGACGGCAAGCACGCGCTTTTTTCCTCCTGATCTCCATCTGTAGGTCGAAGCAAGCGTTTAGCCCTTGGCCTAGATTGAAAGGCGTCTTGTATTTCCTTTTGATTATTGATGTAATTTACTGTTTCTTATATATTCTGACTTTTATAATCTGTAGTAACCTCTTGAAATAGTGCGAATAAAGAGNAGCTCTCATCGACAAATTTCTTCAGTGTTTCTCCCGACATGATAGCTAGATCATCTGCCACATCCACATTTTCGCGTGAAACCTTACGTCATTCAGATTTTCTGGAATGTGATTGGTCTGTTCAATAGACCGCGACCAAACCACAAGGACAATGAGAAAGGAATGTAGTTTGGTTGTCAGTAGCCGTTCTTTTGGGGGAGAGTTGCGTGACATCCAAAAAAAACGGCTGCAAGGGAGACTTCTCACGGACACGACCTTCAACGGTTTGATGTTGAATTGAACAAAGTAACAGAAATACCGAAAAAAAAAAGACCAAATGTTCGAGCAACTAGTTCGCCGCTCTGGTGGAAAACATATCCGCAAGGGGAAATGCCTTGGAAAAAGAAACATGCTGGTGGACCATCACGTTCTGATGCCAAAATGATTTTGGTGTAATACAAAAGTCGACGTTTTGGAGTTGGCGATAAACACAGCGATTCAAGTTTCGCGGGTTAGTAATAAACTCCCACGCTACTGACTTGCCAGATTCATTGGGAGGTCCAGAAACACTTTGCAGGTCACCTTACAGGTAAGTCTCGTCTAATGTTTGAATTACGAGGTGAAAGACGATGGTAGGTAGATTTAAATAGATTCAGAGAAGGATTTTATTCGGCGCAGATTAAATTTTAATCTCAAAGAAAGGGCATCAGCATCTGGGCACTCGCTTTACCTTCTTTCACGCTTGCATTTACATAAACCATGAAGTTTTATTTAAGTCCAATGCTCTCATTTTTTAGCAGACTTGAGTATGGTCTAGATGGGAACATACTGTTTTTCTGTGGAAACTCAAAATGTTTATTGACTGATGTAAAGGAAAAAATAAAATATTTACATAAGTTGTCCCAACGGCATAATCGCACACGAGCTCGCTGTAAAGCAAAGTTCAAAGTTGGCTTTCTCTAGTCATTAGTATGCATGTGAAACTATGTCTTAATAGTAAATTTTCCTATTTTCTTTAAATTCTACTTCTTACAACACATAAAGAAAAAAACTTGACTCCTTAAATTCCAGACTGGAGACGAACACAAACTAAAAGATATTCAGAAAATTTGTACATGCTGTGAAACTCAGACGGTGCGTCAATGAATTTTTGTTTCTTTATATAAATACCCCGGGGACTTGAATTAGTAAAACTATTTTTTTTAGCCAGTGATACCCTTATAAATTACCCCAAAATTAATTTTTTGAAATCATACATATTAAAGTCTCAAGAAAATGCGCAACCTCACTACAAGCTATTAGGCACAGCGTTTTGCACTAAAGACGCATTTTACTGAGAAATGGTGGAATGAATTTGCCTTAGACAGTTCTTTTATGGTCATTCAAATGATTATCTACTCTTTCTTGGCATTGTGTTGTGTCTTTATGTGCCATCTGAGGTGTGATGATGTAATGAAAGCCTTTTCACAAAATTGGCATTGGAAAGGTTTCTCTCCGGTGTGTGTTCGCTCGTGTGCTTGGAGGGTGCCATATTGGGTGAATCCCTTGGGGCAGTACCTGCATCTGTAAGGCCTCTCCCCGGTATGTTTGTACATGTGAGTCTGTAGGTTGCGGTACTGAGTGAAGGACTTTGGACACACTTTACACTTGTAAGGTTTGTCATCACTGTGAATGAGGAGATGGCGCTGTAGATGACCGTAGCGAATGAATGAAGCTGAACATATGTCGCACTTGAATGGCTTCTCTCCTTTAAAAATAAGGGAAAAAATACGATACTATTTTCAGTAAAAATACGTGTGTTAAGGTGGAATGCCTACGTATGGCACCAACACTGGGTTTCCAAGTGAAGAGGGACTTGTGAGATTGCCTCTCTTCTTGACATGGATCAATTTGCCATTCTAGCTAACTTCTTTTTCATGTTGCCCTTTAACTTTCTAGTCTCCGTCTGCATTCTTTGGTGAGAATTCGGCGTACTTACATGATCTTTTCCTATCTTAGCTGTTAACGGACTTTTTCAAGCTGAGGATCTCTTGAAAATTACCACTTTACTCACAGAATTGATTTGCTTTTAACTCCTCGCGATTTCAATACATTATCAAGCAAACAAGTGGTGAGAATAAATGATGAGAAAATGTAAAGCGGAGAGATAAGAGACTTTTAAAGTATAATATGCAGTTTCGTAGTCAGCCTTACCTTTGTGTATGTACATATGAGTATGCATCTCGTCCCTTCTTGTAAAGGCGCGCCCGCATTCTTCGCACTTGTAAGGTTTCTCCCCAGTATGCAGGCGCACGTGCATCTTCAGGGCACGTGACGTGGTAAATGCAAATGAGCAGACCTCACAGACATAAGGCCTCTCTCCTGTGTGCATGCGGATATGCGTCTTTAAGCCACTGAGGCGGGTGAAATCCTTGGCGCACAGACGGCACTTGTACTTTTCACCATCCTTGATGAAAAGATCTTTGACTTGTTCACGTGCCAGGAAGGTGAACATCGCTGAGAAGGGCAAAGTCCCTGGCGCTCTGGTAGTACCCCCCATATGCGAAAGCACGTGCTTTTGAAAGTTTCCAAACCACGTGAACTCGCGGTCACACTCCTCACATTTATAGGGCTTATTGTTGTTATGGATGAGAAGATGGCGCTGGAGGTCACTAGGGCGTGTGAAGGACATCACACAATAGTTACACTGAAACGGCTTTTCCTTGTCCGATTTAGCTGCATCTTCTGAGGCGGAGTTGGAATAGCGTGAGGGAGATGGAAATGGTTGCCCCAGGAATGAATCGATAGAGGTGGAATCTTCGGAGGGCGGGAAAAGAATCGGAGTCCCCGGATACCGTGACATTTGATGCTGAAATTCTTTTACAACGTTATGAACTGATTCCACACTTGTCTCGTATTCGGACATGTCCAGCGGTACCCAACCGTCCCATCTTGTGGTATCCATGTCAGATGGTTGGATTGAGTCATGTTTTTCAGGGCGGGAATTTTTTTCTTGTGTTTTATTGGTTTTTACTGAAAGAAACAGGGAAAAAGTACAAAATTGAACCTAAAGGTAGTGCAAACAGAGACTCAAGCGGGGGGCCGTAAGGGAGTTCCTAAGTTATATGCTTATACCTATCAACGTTGTCGAAATCCTCATACATTTCAGACCACACAAGCATTTCCTGTTGCGCAGTTTAATTTGATTGAAATTCAAATTGTATTTTAAGCTTTGTTAAGCTCACTGTGGCTTAATTCTTTTTGCATATGTTAAGTCGTAAAATCCAGTTTACACTATTTGTACTTGATGTCTTACCCTTGCCGAAAACTTTCAAGAATAAATGGCGCGGAAAAAGAACTAAGGAATGATAAAACGTATCCAGTTTGATGAAGAGCCTTGATGAAACCTTCGACCTCATTCTTTCATTGTAATACGAGACACGAGAATGCTATGTTCTCGGTATAGCATTGGCAGCCACGTAATTACTCCGAAGTTTGAAAGTAATCATTTGTGAGATGAAATGGAGACTGAATGTTCCACTAATTCAGTTAAAACATTATAATAATAATTATAATAATAATAATAATAATAATAATAATAATATAGTATTTCTTACCGCTTGCAGCCTAAGGCTGAATTACAGGTGCAGTGTAAGGTTGAGAACAGACGTAAGCATATCCAGCGCCTCTGGCAGCCGCTTCAGTCAATCTATCTCACCTTCCCACCCATTCCACCCAGGCCGGAGGACATCCATCACACAGTAATCTCGTGTGTGCGAAATTAACGTCTCCTACCCCAACCCTGAAGGAGACGGGACCTCCATTTATTCGTCCCTATCCGAGAAGTCTACAATATCTAACCATTTCTCAATGTTATAGAAAGGTAGCAAATTCTTCTCAATTATTTTAAGACCTTGAGTGTTGGTCCGGCTGGGGCTCGAACCCTCGACCTCCCGCACAACAGTCCAGCGCACTATTCATTGGGCTAACTGGGCGGCGATTATGTTGAAATGAGATATTTGTATCATTAAAAAATTACTTCAGAGTCCTAAATTCAAACTCGGTCTTTCTACAAGTTATTGAGCGAAGCGATTTGTTTATTTTATTTCCTCATTAATGTGTTCTGCGCTTTAACTTAAATAAAGGACTCTTAGGGTTTTTTATGAGTTAAAAGGGCTGCACCGTATCACTGTTTGAAAATGGAAAATAAAATTAGATGAAACCGACAACTTTAAGACCGCGTCACATTTTGAATCAACTCATATATTCTGAGAATCGGTCAATTAATTGGAAAATCAGTTAAGAACAAAATTTTAATTTTTTTTTAAACGGCTACGTTCAGGTCATAAAACAGTTCCATATGCCCGGCTGCAGTTTGCAAAACTTTATTTCTGCTACTTCGCCAGCGATGCTGTGACATACTTCTAAAGAATTTTTCTTCCTGGCTCTACTTGCTGGAGCCCTCCACTGACATAAACGTTTAAAAAGGTACCAGCGAAATGTTGGGCGTAACCTGACAAAACACTTAAAGCAAATAATGAAAAACTTTACGACACGGAACGAAATAGGGTCAAGGTGCACCTGCCCAAGCCAGCTCAAAAAAGAGGAAATGACTAAAAATGAAGTAAATACAATAAATAGTAAAAACAGGGAAATAGCTTTCAAGGGCATAATATTAACATGCGACAAGTTTCAAGAAATATTGTTCGCCACTGACCGAAATGAGCCAATTGAAGGTCTTTATTTGTTTTGTTTCTCAAGATATTATCCATCAGTTGTATGCAGTGAGTATATGGTTTGATTTTTAAGATAAAGCCATTGGCGACGAAGTAAGTTGATTTCATGTTCCCTGATTCATTCCTAACCAGCAGTGACTCTGTATTTGTCCCGTCGAATCGAGTATCAGCAGATACCAAAAGGCAATGAAAATTTTGTTCGCGACTAAGGACCCTCGAGCCAAATTTGCGATGGCAACCCTTTAAATATCCCGATGATAGAAATAGATACTAACCCTCGATCGATATTGTATGGTTTTTGTCTCACTCCTTTCACACATGTTTCTTAGCCGAATTTGTACATGTACAGTTGGGTTGAGGTAAGAATATCAAAATAGGCAATTAATATCTTTAACATATAGTGCAAAACGTCTCAAAAAACAAAAAAAAATTATCAAGGTTAATTTGAAACGTATGTATCTTCAGTAAAAAACCTAGAAATTAATCGTTTGGTAAATTTTAAAAGACTATTATGTATTTACTTTGTACCGGCTTACAACAGCGCTTTTATCTACTTACCTTCTAAAATATTTTTTCGTTGGGATGTTTTTATTACCGGAAACTGTATAGGAACACAGCCAAGCGACCTGAATGTAGAGATTTCTTATTTTTGGCACGAAATATGCGAAGATGGGGAAGAATAAGTCAAATGAATTCATTCAATTTACAAAAGTATATTTTTGTAGTTATTGTTAAATAAATGAACGATTGTGTTATATCCTTGGCTTTTCTAATACTTTTTTAGCATGGAATAAGAACAAAGCAGAATTTTCTGTACTTATTAAAACTGCTGCCACCTAACGTCTGTGAATGACAAAAACAAATTCGAACACAATGCACATCGCACGATTTCTTTCCTACTGAATGATACTTAAAATGAAATCAATTATATTTAAAGGAGGCCAATTGTATATTCAGGAAAAAATTAAATGACCTAATTCTTTAGAGTCCATTGCGTTGCTTTGTTGGCCACACCGTACTGAGTTTCATATTATTTTAGGTGACACAGTGAAATGAAAAGTCGAAAAACAGCCGGAAAACGTGTAGGCGTAAACTTTGTATCATAAATCTGCCTTTAAGCTAATGTAGAGAGCAGAACCCGCAACTTTCAGCCATTTTTTCGTTTTTGGTAAAAGTTCCAAACACAATTTAAGTAGTTATCCACTCGACTGTTGCTTGTCTAAATTTCCTGTCAGCTTTATTCAAGATTTTTCTTAAAACTGTTTTACATGTCAATATCAGATTCAAGACAGTTCTACAAGCTGACGAAAAGTTCATTTTTCACACAGAGCTTAATGTGAGAACCGCACTTTGTAAGATGCGCTCCGATGAAGGGCATATTTCCAAATTGGTGGCATTTAAAATAAGGTTTCAAATAATAAAATTTGTATCTCTTAAGTGATTTTCCGTGCGCCGCCCTTAAAAAGTGACTGTATGCATCGCTGCCCTTCTACAATGCAAGTCTCGTCCCCTAAGAATTTGTCGCTCCCTGTTTATTTAGCGGTTCACCCGTATAAAAGTTTAAAATTGGGGTTGGCAACTCGTGGAAATTTTCTGTGAGTTGTTTGTTGACTCTCAGTGCCATCTGAAAAGCACATGGAATAGCGGGTGGGATAGCCCTTTCCCTGGGTTAATTTAACTTTGCCTTTATCTTTACAAGATTTAACCTGCGATATGCCAAACAGCTAAATAGAACATGAATTATTTAAAAAGGGCCCTTTCTCGAAGCGACCACTTTTTAACACCTGTGTTAAAGAGAGAAGCAAAAGGTGATTCTCTTACTAGGAGACTAAACATTTAACGAAGGACGGTGGTTTAACTGTTCCAATCTTTGTTGTTCCATTCAATTGGGGTTCACGTTTTTACGTTCCGGTGAACTCTGTGACTCTCGTTTACATTTACCCCAAAATTACGTTTAATAAAAACATGATATAGATTTATAAACTTCTCTTTGTATACATAGTAGATTTTAATATCAATTTTGCGGTCAGTCCTCGCTACGGATATCTCCTAATCTGACGGATTTAAAATTGTCCGTCATTAGCAATTTCATTGCGATTTTCACATTTTAAGTCCCTTTTTGAATCTCGCAGAGCTGTCGCATTGACTGTTAAGCGTTCAAACTCGATACCATTCACTGATCGGGAATATTGCTCTATCAGTCATTGAGTGCAAAACATTCAGTTTCGATACAAGAGCACTCTTAAAGAAAGCAATTCTTGAGAGTCTTGATTGTGGGATCTTAGACTATAGACGACGATAATGTTATCCGACTTGAAACAATTTTTTCTTTAAGTGAACTGATTATTTACTTTTGAAGATGTAGTGGTTTGTTGACTTTTCGTAGCAGGTTGAGTGAACTTTCTTCATGGTAAGCTCGGCAGGGATTCTCAATAATTTCACCGATTTACTCTGTGATATGTGAAAACGTGTAGTTAATTTTCTCACCCGTGAGCTTTTGGCTATTTCACTTTTAGGCCAAGGCAGGAGCCTTTTTGAGAGCCACTGTTTTAAACAGAAGAAATTCGTTTACGGAAAATTAGCCGGATTGGGGCGGGCATATTTGACGTCTACTTGTTACATCTACAAGCCACAATATTTTGTAAAAGTCGTGATTTCAGCTACTTTCAATAAGATTTTATAAAAGTATTTTACCTTCTGCTCCCCTGCTGAGATGAGACGTTATTCCAGTTGATTTCTTGACTAAGAATGACTTGGGCATCTTGAATGGTAACTAAACAATGTTCTTGACGCTAGAGTAAATATTGGCGTTAGGGAACCAAAGCGAGCATCAAAACCTAGATTGACACTGAAATGGTTTTCTCAAGGAGCAATGTAATGTGCAATGCACCTGCCAAAAATTGACCAATCACATGGCTTCACGTTCCGCAGCGCGCATGCGCGAGCAGTGCACTTCACAATGGAGGAAGCGCAGTTGTAAAGAGCGATATTGTTTAACGCTGTAACCCGTTAATTATTGCACATTGTTCGTTAGTTTTCTGGGCTAATTGGAGAGTTGTTCGTGTTTATGGCAGCAATAATTGTACGGTTTGTACGAGGAGAGTGAAAATTTCTTAACAGCTGTCGCTAGCTTTATTTGTACGGATATGTTACTCGAGGCTATGAAAAGCTCTTTGAAAGCAGGAAACTTACTTTCAAGGAAGCTTACCGTTTTATTTATTTTAGTCTTTGTAGCACTTCAGTACTTTCCTATTACTCAATCACAACAACGGCAAACCTAAAATGTAAACTTTTTTATTCCATTTAACAATAAAGTAAATTTTGCCATGATTCTTAGCCACAAACAATCCATTATGAATGAGAGAGACAAATTGTAGAGGATTACATTAAGGCTTCGCAATTAAGAGTTCTCCTAATGAATAATTCTGTTTGCTTCAAAGTGCTGCTAGCCGTAATTACCTGACTAAACGCTACCCACGTAGGAGAAAAATAATAATTGCTTTTTATGTCAGCGGCCGAAAATACGCCCAGTAAATAACTTTTTCACACTTTCCTTTTCATATTTCCCCCCTCGGGGAAAAGGAAGCGGTCAGTAATCTCTTCAAAACATGACTGATGTTTGAAATATCCTTTCAACAACCGGTGGTTTAGTTATATCGACGATATAACGGCGGTGGTTAGATAGATTTTCGCTTTGATTGCTAAATCACCAAACAAACAACAGATTGAAGTTCTTGAAGGCTGACTGCATCCGCTACGTGAAACAAGAACTACAGCATAATTTAACAAGAACGATGTGTACGTCAAAAGGTTATCGAACTCCGAAAAAATCCTGTTTATTGGACAGATGTTGAAATGGCGTAGAAGATAAATTTGTGCTTTGCATTGATTGTATGTTATCTCCAGGGAGCTTTGAGCGTTTGTAATAAATGGTGTGATTAATCTAATTTCAGTCACTAAGCCTTGAAGATTTATCAGTTAACACTAAAACCAAAGAAAGATTTTAGTTACTGTATATCTAGACATTCGTCCATTGATTTGCAACTGAAATCAGACAGTTTCCGAACCTTAAGTCGTGAAAAACGCATGAAACAAATTTTTGCTTATAAATAACAAACTGTGATCTTTTCCCCCTCATTCTCTTTTTTTCTTTTTGAGCTCTCGAAAATCAAAGATTATTGTATCATGCATATGGTTAGTGAGATCTTTTGTGAAAGAAAGCCGCTTCGAGTTTGTTTCTTCTGGTGTAATATATTTACTTTACATCTGAGAAACCTTTGCAGTCAGTTAAGAAAAGAAAATCCTTTTTTTTTTTAAATCGGTGGCTAGGAAAAGGTACAATAATAACAGTACGTATGAAAATGATTGAACAAGTACACCACTCAAATCATATCTCTTTGTAATTCCCTGGAAATTGTATTTATACATAGAACCTTTTGTTTGGAATTTTGTATTGTAAGCATCGACATTTTGTATTAATCATTACTCAACCATTAAGTTGGAGATAATTTTGGGGAGTTTGGCTGACATTCAACAAAAGAACAAAAGCATTTGCCGTGGAAAGAGAAACAGTCTTGGAACACCTCTTTTTACATATATTTTAGCAGCGAAAAACCTACCTGGAAAAAAATTGACACACCAGGAAGAAAACGTACCTGTTACATTTACTTACAGGTAAAATTTACCGTGGCCCAGTTAAATATGTCTTGAAGAAAGGCTTCGTGTCTTATGTCTCTCTGAAGTCTGTATTCAAATTGCGCTTTTTCATAACATAAAAGAAACAAACACAATGCACGCAATCAAATTATATACTGATATTGGTCGGCACTCGAGGTTAGTTGGGGCTGTGCCGCTTAATTAGTAAACTAGTTTTGACGGTGAAGACTTTGGCATCGAACGACAGTGAAGAGATTAAAACAAACGAAACTTAAGACCGACATTGGTTTGCCACCACTTTTTATTCAAAAGCTCAATAAGATAATAGGAATCCACAGGCTTAACAGGTAATCGGAGATGTGACAACTTCCTGTAAACAAATCTGAGCGAAGTTTGTATTGTTTTTAAATCACAAGTGACGCCAGTGAAATTAAGAAAATAAGAATGGCATTGTCACAGATTGGAGACAGAAAGTCAACTGCCATCCTTCTGAAACTCAGTCAGCGTTTGCTGAGAAAACACTATTCATTAAGTTATTTTTCAGTGCTCGTGCTAGGTACTTTGTGTATACCATGTGGCAAATCTAATTGTTCGGTGTTTCTTTTAATGAAAAAATGTCTCTGGGACCCAACTGGTCGTTCTGGAAACTATTCGAAACCAAACACCAACGCAATAAGTAAATACTTTCTTGCAAACATTTGTACTTCTCAGACTCAAATAATTTTTTTATTTCATGTTTTGTTTGATTCCGGACAGTTTCTTATTGCTGAAAAAGACTAATAGCATAAACCACAAGCCTCCCACTTAGCAAATTAAACCAAGATTTAAAAAGGTGACTGGCAAATTGTCACATAAATTAAATAACAGAGTGAATCGATCTGTTTCGTAACTTGGGGGAGACCGTAACAGTCAGTTGAAACTTTCACCATCACCTCATTCAGAATCTGTTATAACTCGGCCAAAATTTCACCATGAAACACCAAGAACTCGGCTAAATCCAGAATCTACGTGACCATACATTCTCTGGGTTTGAATTCATCGGTGTTAAAACAAGATTACGCGCATGCGTCACTACTCAAGGCTTCATAAATAATTCAAACAGAAGTTAAAAGGAAAAAATATGTCAATTGGGTGTCAACACTTATGGACATCAGGACTGTTGTTCAAAGTTCGTTCGAAACCAACATTTTCACACTTTGAGTTAGAGTTTTCAATTGTGTCTTGCTCTGGCAGTAACATCTGCTAATTGCTTTGCTCGTCCTATTTTCACGTCCTGAAAACACCTTTTAGTAATTCTATTGAATTCGCTTTCTTGGGTTTTTCCTTTATGCATTTGTTCGGTTTTTTGGCCGACAGAAAAGGGATGTTAATGTTTTCTGCCCTCTTAATCACAAACCGTGGCTGCATTAATTTCCTTCATGAGCAGAAAGAAAGTTAACGTGAACCTTATTGGAATATGATGATTTCAGTCCTTTTTACGTAGATCTCAACCTTAGAGCTCCAAATTTCCAGGAATAACTAAACCAATAAGTGAGGGAGTTGATTATATCGGTCATGAAATAAACCTGAACAAACCCTCTCTTAGCTATTTACTTTTTGACCGAAAAAAATGTTTCCTACGTTTACAGGCAAAATTATCTTTCATGAAAAGCACAGGTTAAGTTTAGACAACGTTTGTTTGATTTGCCTCTAACTCAAATTTTTCATGGACAGCATCTTCTATACTGCTGTATTAATTTCTTTGTGTTTCCTCCGCGAAAGTACAAAGTAAGAATTCTTTGATTCTCTTCTGATGTTCTTCGTGTTTTGAAGAACGAACAGTTACAAATATGATTGTTCAATTAAAACCAAACAAAAGAAATATGAATACAGATATCGCGAAAAAGAAGATATTTCTCAGATTGATTTTATCATTTGTTCCATGTGCGATGAAGTACCTGTGGGTTGTAATCTGACTGAATAATAAAGCCAAAATTTGGAATTCCTCACGGACGTATCTTCACACTAACTTGAATAACGAATGCAAACCCACACCATAACATGAACCAGTAAGGCATCGGAGTAATCTTTTACAATATTTCCAAATAACTTAAGACCGCTCGACAAAAAATGTTTGTTTTTTTGCCCTATTACAATTACACGTGCTAACCAGACAAGTCTCAGATACATGAATTTGTTGCAGGTAAAAATCATTGAACTATTTCATCCCACCTAATACAGCGAATCTGAGTGAACACAGATAAGTAAGCTTGGAAATTTTCATTATTATCGTAAAAGTTATTTCATACAACTATGTGTAAACAAAAAAACTAAAAAGTATTTGAATTTTTTGACGGTTAAAGATTTTATTTTTGTTTTATTTTCACGTAAATTTTCTGGCCCGCCAAGACACAAGCTAGTTGTAATCATGTTTGTTTTCTTTTGAAGTCTGTCTGGTCTTTCTAAAATAGTAAAAATTTAAGGGACTATTAAAGAAAAAGAAAATAATTATAAATGGGGAAAAAGTTATTTGAGAGTTTCTTAAACAAATATTGAACTCGTACAAATTTGCTTTACCCGTTAAGAAAGCAATCGTCTATATGAAGCACTTCAAAAATCTGTTGATTGTACAATGAAAAGCCAGGTTCAGTACTTAATAAGGTGAGAGAACTGCGCTTCGCTTCACACGTGCTCGTCATAATGTCGTTTAGTCTGAATAACGAACGACACCGACAGTCTTAACTTGTCTCCACTCAACCGAGTTATCACAGTCAGTAAGTTCCGTTCTAAAATTTTTTCTTTTATTAGCTAGAATTCTTAATAAGAGCAAAATTCCAAAAATACGAAACGTCGTATGTTAGCTTATCCCTCACCCACTGGGAAAGAAATGAACACCTCCTAATTTCTATGAGTGTACTTTACCTTCTGGGATTTGAAAAAAAGATTTTAGACTTCAAAAGTAAACTTGTTTGTTAATTCAAAAATAGGTTGAAAGATGGGGAGGTTCCGTACAGCTTTTCACTGAGTTGGAGAAACAAGATACGAAAGTAAACAGTACTTATGAGTATGATGCACAGGAACCGCATGAAGATTTCTTCTCTATTATGTTTATGTAACAATTTGAAAATATATTCTCCATTGTGGTACGTTCTCATAGTTGTACTTTTAGATTTGTGATTTCTTGTTTGGGCGGTCATCGCAGCAGGTTCTAGGGCTAAATTTTTTTTTTAAGGAAGTAAAACAGACGTGGCAACTCAAAGCGGTAGCAACTTTACCATTTCACCGTGACTCACCAAAGGCCAAAAAAATGTGACTAGGTCGCTTGATGTTGTTGGAGAGATATCATACAAATATTATATTCGAAGCAATAATAATTTGTGCCGCAGTTAAAGCTAAAATATGGAATCCCCGTTTCAAGCTTAATCAGTTATTTTCGTTTTTCTTGTCCACTGAACGAATGTAGACAATGTTACACGCCGGAAGAATCATTTCTGTGTAAGATAGACATAGACTACTTCAGTTTACAGTGATATGTACTTTGGCTACTAAGATTTGCCTTTCTTTCATTAAGTGTGAAAATTTCCCTTGCCGTAGAACAACCCTTAGACTTTCCTTCAGGATTGGATGCATTTCGATGAAATGTTCTCAGGAAGCTTTGCATTAAATGTCACGGAAGCGTAATAAACTTTTCTGGCAATTGAAGTCTTAACTTTACTAACTTTGGCTAACGAGTAATGAAAAGTACGTGGGTGGCAAAACACACTCTGACAAAACCACACGATCTGTTCTTGCTCAGGGTTAACTTTATTAAATATAGTCAATATAATCATGTTTTTTTTTTTTCACATCCACGCACACATCCTTGTTTTAGGATCTTTTCGCTTGGTAATGCCTATGAGCCGTGACGTCAACGAGAAATACTCATCTCACCCCAGACCCCGTAGGTGAGCTCCCCTCCAGTAGACAAGAGAGAATGTCAAGGTGGCTGCCGCTTGTGCACTCTTCTTATTTGCAAAGTTGATTCAACGTATTACTTGATTGTTTTCTGTATCAAACAGTTTATTAAACAAGATTCAACAACAGCCAAAGTTTTTATAAAGCTAAAACGAGTTTTCGCTCTGTCATTAAGTACAACCTCGAACGGCGTTGACGCCGACGTTCTCTAAACGACTAGATAAAGTCGTTTGATATTAAAAAAGAAAAACGTAGCTGATTTCTTTGGAAAGGCACAGAACAGCTGAAATAGCTTACAGGGAATACAGGATGTGAATTGTAGGGACGGCTAATGATAAAGTGGAGAGTTCACATGAGAAGCAAGTGGCTTTCCTGTCTACAGACGGGTCTCCAATACATCACAGGATACATAGAGTTCTAAGGTATCACGGGATGTACTAAGTTCCAAGGTATCACAGGGTACGTTGAGTTTCATCAAGTTTCGGGCTATTGGCCCAATGTCTCTCTCACCATTAGCTGCTACTCTGAAACGTTCCTTTGGGCTTGATCTTTTGCATAGAATCCGATAAAATTCGCGTCGATAATTCATCGAAAAGATCACGTAAAGAATTGGATTAATGGCACTATTATAGAAACCAAACCATGGGATTACAAATTTAACTTGCTTGGGAATCTCCAGGAAAAATTTAAAATTATAAGTTGCAATCATCTCTAGAACTTGGAATGGAAGCCACGAGAGAGCAAAAACCACCACCACTGTTACCAACATAACAGTCGCACGTCTGCTCGTTTTCTGAACTTTTTTGTTAGCAATAGGATTCTGATGTCCGGGTAATTTTCTCCTACAAAGGTGCAATGCGGCCAGGAAGTAGGACACAGTGATTGCAAATAATGGAATGGCGTAACCTATGACAAATAAAATAAGGGTGTAGACGTCACGTGACAATGCCGACCAATCCTCTGTACATATCACAGTTTTTGTTTTCTCTTCTTGCTTCGTGGTCGTCACAAACATCACTGGAATCATTAAAGCCAATGCGCCGAGCCAAATCACGGCGATTGCGAATCTCAAAACGTTTGTTGTCACTATCGTCTTCAAAGGAGATAAGACGGCAAAACTGCGATCCAAAGAAACTGCCACTAAACTGAACACTGAGGCGGCCAAGGAACCAACTTGAGCTGAGTGGAAGAACTTGCATAACGCAGTGCCCATGAACGTGCCAAACCATCTATTCCAAATGAAACAGAATTTGAGAATGTAAGGAAAATCTATGGTCATGAGAAGATCCGCAACAGCCATGTTGGCGATGAGGATGTTTGTTGAGTTCTTCATCTGTTTTACTGTGTAAACGATGTAAATAACTAACGAGTTACCAATTGTTGCCAGTATAAAAGCGGTAACGGCCATCACTGTGACTCCGATTTGAATGTCGCGCGGGACCAGGAATCCTCCGTCGGGAGGCGCTTCGGTGAAATTGTACGTCATGTTGAAGGCACCAGCAGGTTCTATAGAACAAGGCAAAGGTTTAAATGATAAACGGAAAATGATGAAAGAGGTTTCTGTGGTCGGAACGTAGAATCAGAAGCTTTAACCTTGACAAATTATAGTCTTTGAGCACTCATTTTCAGTCATGCAACGGGAGATAATCCTCAAGAGCTCCATTGCGCAAAGTCTGAGAGAGAAAGAATACTTTTGTTTTGATCATTCCGGTCAACTGACATTGATAAGGCTCAGTTTATTGAAGAAAAACACTCATTTCCTCCGACGTTTCCGGATAAAACATTTTGTCGGAAAGTGGCCACCGGCCAATATGAATCAAATAGCCTTAAAAAAGAGGTTTCTTAAAAGGGAAAACAAAAATTGTTGAATTAGATTATAGTAGTCAGTCTTGCTGTGTAATGCGAAGAGGAAGGTCTCGTTTAAACCTTTGCTCTCCGTATTCTTTTTTCCTCCTTTATTATGAATAGCTCGTATTTAGAGAATTGTTGGTATTTCTAATTGGAAATGAACCAAATATTTAGGTGTAAGTTGAGTTGATAGAATTCAAAGGGCAATTGATGATGCGGATTATTCTTGTGGTATATTTTTAGATTTCAGTACGGCATTTGATACCATACATCATGAGATATTGTCAGGAAAACTGGAGTTTTATGGCATACGTGGGATTGCAAACCAGTGGTTTAGTTCATATCTTGCAAATCGTTTGCAACAGTCACTATAAATGGTGTAACTTCTACCTCTGTCAATATTTCATGTGGTGTTCCTCAGGGGTCAGTCCTTGGACCAATTCTCTTCTTGTTATATATTAATGACTTTCACTATTGCTTTAAATTTTTTGATTTCCATTTATTTGCTGATGATACTAATTTATTTTGCAAACATAAAAATCTCACTTCTCTACAGGCAAGTATTAATAATGAATTCTCTAATG